CTTCGGATTCTTCCTCTCACCGACAACTCCTTCTCTCACAAAACCGAGTTCATCTTTATTTGTACAAAATATCGGCGTATCTCCCTGGTCAGTATAAAATATCATGGAGGCTGTGTTTTTCACTTTCCCCAGTCAAGAAGCATTAAGAACTCATGCCATGGAATGATCTTCACAGACAACCGAAAATGGTTTTTAAACACTACTTCGGAGCGTCCCTGCATTACTCTATATATTACATATGTACTTTAAATGCCTTACTTCCATCTGTCATTCTGTCCTACGCGAAAAATAATTCAACATACTGTTTTTCTTTTTAATTTTACTTTATGTACACGACAAAAAACAGGTATCTTCGATCAACGGTCCCAAAAATTCACCTTGATCTGAACCTGTCATTATTTCCTCTCTTCCGACTAAATACAATATTGTAGGTACGTAGATCACCACTCTTTCTTAGATATGAGGCTACGCTGGCGCGCGCGAATGTGGGTTGTTTTCACTACTGCCTAATCATTGAAAAGCCGATGATTCCTGTGAAAAAGAAAACTGACAGATGCCAACGAGTACTGAACATCAACAACTTGGTTGGTCGTAGAAATGATTTCAAAATAGATGTGAAGTTTTCCTCTTCCTTGAGGCAAACTCGCAATAGTTTGTATTTTCAATGGTCAGTATTCGGCTCCTTGTATTTTGTTATGAAAAATAATCAAATATTCCCACATTCATCCGATTTTATTGGAAGTACGCACATCCATCCTTTTATTCAGAAATACTGTTAGAAGGGGGCTATATGCAGATTCGGCCCCCTGAGGACGAGGTCGGGCTATATGTACTATACTTGATATTAAGAGAATCATGGCGATGGTGATGGTAAGATGTTTATGACAATGGAGATGTAATTGATGTTGGTTGGTTGGTTGGTCATCTGATAAAGATGGTCATGATCATGATGACGATGTTAATGATGATGACGATGATGAAGGTGTTGACTGTAAAGTTCTAACGTGTGACGTCATAAAGAATTAAATTTGTGAAATTATGGGATTTTTCAAGATATTCTGAAAGAAGAACATCCAAGAGGTCTAAGAACCAAAAACCAGCATTGTGTATGTAGCAAATTGTCTCTGAGATATTAGCCCAGTTTTACTCTGATGACTCCATACAAATTCTTCAAAATTTGAATTGGGTGCAAACGGGGACTATCATTTATTTTAGGTACGGAAAAACGGGCAACAAAAAAACGTGCAACTTGTCTTGCAACATTGCTGCAGAACAAGTAAAATAGCGATGTTGCGCGTTTTACCACCCACATCGAACCTGTCTTGCAACAAATCAGGTTGTTAACAGGTTTGAACGAGAATGATGGCGATGAGCGAGGAGAAACGTCTGCCTTTCGCAGGCTAGCTTTGTTTTGTATTTAGAATATTACCAAGCAACTTTTCTTAGTCCATTTGCTCAAAGGGAAAGACAAAAGTAACTTCATTTTTTGACCAAAATCTTGTATAAATAAGTTTCGAATCGACTTTGCGAAAAATTGTCTGAATGTGTATGTCAATATTTCATGGATGTTGCCTTTCCCATGATGAGATGCACTTCACCCAACGAAACATTGGTTAAACACATCCCTCATCTTCCTCTCGGAATCCCCCTGAACTAAAGAATAATGGGCCAAATAACTGTCACTTTCAAAACAAGGCCATTCTTGTGAAAATGAGTTTTATTTCCGTGAGAATAAAAATTCATTTTCATATCAATGCCTTCTCACTTACCCATGCAATTGCTTTGAAACGGAGGCTTTAAACAACTCGGAAATAGCCTATATATTATCCTAAGTCTCCTAATGAAATTGTGCACTTCACCGATGGATATATATCGATTGAAATCCCTAATAGTACCAATCGTAGAATTGGTACCAATGGATCGTAAGAATCCACCTTTACCAATCTGAATCATTGGTGCTAGTCAACACACTTGTTAGCTCCGATCAAATCAAGAAATCTATCGGTGTGTGTTAGCCAGCGTTACAAGCGTCGAAAGGGGTGGGGCACTTTTCTCCCTTCCCCCTCCCTCTACCCGTTTGGGAGCATGCAACGCAGGCTAGTGTGTGCGGGGGTATTATCATAATCACTACTGAAAACAAAATCACCACTTGGATGACTACTTTTTAATGTTTACCTACACATAATGTCGTTTATAGATTAACAAAAACCACAGGAGAGTCGAATAAGTGTTAGAACGGGTGTTTCTTTCCATAAAAGCGGATTACTAAAACAAAGAGAACTCAAACGTAAACAAGTCATCATAGCAGACATAGCATTCGTAGCAAGCGTTTCCGCACAAATTCCTCAAGAAAGTTGGGACGAGAGTAAGAGGGAAAGATTTCCTCTTTTCCCCTGCCCTCCCCTCCCTTCTTCCTCTTCCTACTTGCTCCGCTTCAACTTCCGCGTAAAAACTCGAATGCAAGCACTTGCTGAGCAGGTTACAGTAAACAAAGAAAATCATTAGGACCTATGATCGGTCAGGTGTAAAAACTTACTACCGTTTTTACACCAATAAAGAGCAAACCTGACATGACGTAATAAGAGAAGCGGCTTGACGGACGCGCATTTTCCCGCGCTTTAAATATCATCGATTACATCTTACTTCCTTGAGTTTTGATTGGTTCATTACGTCATCAACATCTGATTTGATAGGCTGGTTCTCACAGAGATACATTATAAAAGTGCCAAAAATCAGAAAAGACAAACGTCGAGAACTTAAAGCACAAATAAAATGTACGGTAGAGTAACCTTATTCCATATATTACTGAACACCTTCGCTTATTGAAAATCTGCATAAAAAATAAACCATCCACCGTGAAAATAAAATGTCACTGTTGGTTCATCATAAAAGGTGTTGTACTGCGTACACAACGAATATATACACGCATTTGCGATTCAAAGGATAAAATTGTTCTTAAAAGTGTTTTAAAGCAAAGATGAATATCAACTACTGTACAGTCTTGAGAACGCGCACGTTAAGTCGTTCCACCACCTTCGCTTTTCCTTACCATTACTCTCCCGTAACTCTGGCCAATCAGAACTCGTGCATGTAAGAAGGACCAATCAGTATTCAAGGCAACATAACACCTGTACTAAGCGCGGGAAATACCGTAAAATTCCGAAAATAAGCCCCAGGGCTTATATTTTTCAAAAGCCCTTTTTGAGGAGCATATTTTTGGAGGAGCTTATATTCGGAGGGGCTTATCTACGGGGCGAAATTTGCGTTTCAAAATCGATTGGGCTAGCCTTATTGTTGGAAGTAAATTTACCGTTGTTGCTTTGTTTTACTTTGTATTTGAGGGCAATTTTCCAAGTACAAGCTCCCGACGGGCTTACATTTGGAGGGGCGATTTAACGGAGGGTGTTTTGCGTTACCGGTTTGGGGGGCTTATATTTGGAGGGGCTTAAATATGGAGGGGCTTATTTTCGGAATTTTACGGTATGAGTGACTCTCATTTCCCTTCTGACTGGTCGACAACGTGACACGAGTTTTCTAAGCCAGTTAGAAAGCATAGTAGTCGAAAACGAAACCAACTGTGAAAGTTATTTTCACGTGTTCGCAAGTGAGGTAAAAAAGAAACTCTTATAACAATGCACAAACAAGAATTTAAGAATTCCAAGATCTAATTATAACTTTCTGCTGGAGTTTGAAGACACAGTATTAACAGCAGCATTGTTCATTTGAAAACTCTTTTAGCAAGTGTATTGTTTGTGATTTAGAAAAAAGTAAAAACTACCTTCCCTCAGTTCTCTTTCGATTCTCACGGCTCTTAGGAATGTAAAATCGCTAAAACGCAGCTGGAATAAATGATAAAAGAATGAAAAATTCTTTTAACTTAATTAGCAAAGTTGTCCAGATGTTGCTTAATTGGCACACAACATTCCTGTTTTAGCCCGCATTCTGTGAAGTGTTCATTTCTTTGACCTCGACCTGAGTTGGTCACCTGATTCCCTCCCTTTTCCAGCATGCATCTGGGCGAGCTGCTCTCTGTGCGTCCACTGGGGGATGCAGAAAATTCCATTCACGTCCTTTCCTATATAAAAATTGACAAAATTAACAACAACAAAAGTAATGGGCCTTGATTCGATAATTTCCTTGATAATATGTACATTAGGTATGACACGTTGTTATTATTTCACTGTTCGTTAGTCTTGCAAAGTGGGAAAACAAAAACATTGCAATTGAGAGATTAGGGGAACCTAAAGTGAAGCTCCTGTCAAATACCAACAACTTAGTTGAAAATTGAAAGTATTGCAATAGCCTGCGAACGAGCTCTCCATTTCGAGTGGCGAGCGAGCTGCGAAGCCGTGAGGGGCGGAGGAAAAAGAGCTTTCTCCATCCCTCGCACTCGCATCTTCTTTCGCGTGCGGTACTCGCGTAACTTCTCGCGACTCCAAAAAAAGACAACTTGCTCGCTGACTACTCCTGCAAAGACGTTTACAGACCAACAACAACAAAAAAAACATAAAAACTTGAACCTCCGATGCAATGAAATAATCAACTGGACAGGGAAAAATTCAAAAATACAGAGCCTCAATGAGCAGTGGACCTAAGCATGTCATAGCATTCGGCAGCTAGAAAACTGATGATGTCATAAGTGGCATAATGGAAGGGGATCTACATCGGCAGTTACAGGTGGTAAACCTAGTGACAAATTGACTTTCGAGGCACAAACACGATGAATTGACTTCTAGTAATAAATTGAAACTTAACATATGAAAGGCTGAACGAACATCTATTTACTGGTAGTGACACTTAATGAACCAATAAAATATTTATATTTTTTACATGTGCTAAGAATTTCCTGGCGACCGGCCAATCACCATAAGCCTGAAAGCTCCGGGAACGAGACTTATCCTTTCTTCGTAGGAGGCTTAGAGAACTTGTGGCGTACCACACTTTCGTACCCAGGGCCCTCAGGCTCCCTGGTCAGTGGATAGTCGCTAGGAACTATATGTTCAATCAAGACCCACCTGCGGTGGTTTGATGGGTATCGCAGCCGTTGGCCGCCGTCTTGTATGTGGTTGTTGCGATGATTCAGCCTGCGACTGTTGGGGTTGCTGTTGTTGTTGCATCAGCGCGGCTGGTGGGGGATAAAATGTACCTCCCCCTTGCATGGGCATACCATACATCTAGGCACAAAAACACGACACTGTTAGTACGTGTGATTTTCGACTAAGTGAGGAGAGCAATTTTGTAACTGTTTTGGTTTTGCATTGCTACGCTTGTGATTAGCTGAAACACGTTGCGTGGCTGTCTCCACCAACCAGAAGTAAAATTTAAACGGATCATGTGACCTGCTTACGCGTGTTTTTCAGCGCTAAGCAGCGGCTACATAACGGTTACACCTGATTGGTCCATTTGAATTCCAAGTGTACTGTGATTGGCTAGGGTCATTACTTGGGGTTAAATTTTAGGACATTGACATAAAAACAACTGTAACCTACTATGGGGAAAAGGATACTCAAAATCAAATTAAAGCTCGAATTTTATTGTGCATGACACTTTGAAAAAAGACCACTACGCTTAAGGTACAACTAACTTTCACTTAAATGGTATCACGATAAGAATTCATCCGGACTCAAATATTACAAGGCTCCTAAATTTCACAAAGAACATGAAAGAAATAGACTACAGTTTGAAACAAAATTCTGCTAGCATAGCTAGTGCTACCATGTTATCAAACCAGGTAAAAGATTTGTCCACATGGTACATTCTATTTGTGATATTACTTGAAAATGTAATACACATAAAGTAGAAGATAAATTGTTGACGTAACTCACTTGTTGACCCAAGAACGGATTCATCCCCACATTCATCATTGGAAATCTGAAAGGAAAAGCACAACCAATAACTTGAATGATATGAGTAGAGATCTTAGTTCTGTTCTCTACAGACCATTACATTTCAAGAAAGGTACTAAATGTACAAGCGAGGGGACTACACCTAGTTGTTAGCAATTGACTCACTGTGAATTATTATACATCATGGGCTGGCCTGCAAAGGACTGGACCCCAGTGTAATTGGGAACATAACCAGCTGATGTCACCATGTTGGGCTGGGGGACTGGGCCTAGCTGAGCAGCTTGTATACCTAAAGAAAAAAACAATTAATCCGTAGTTTTTGGGTCTCTCACTTCTCCCCAAACTCATTCGTTAGTGACGAAGTTCAGGAAGCTTTCACTTGCCTACAATATATGATAAAATGTGGCGTCTCACTGACATACGTCAGCAATACTTATTATTATTACATGGCTGAAATGGCGAGTAAGCAAGATGAAGTGAATACTGTGTTGTGATTGGCTACCTGAGCGGGCAAAATGGGCCCATTGCACCTGCCGCACATTACCGGAATTGGTCCACAAAAAAGTTACCTTTTTGATCGTATGATAAATCCCATTGGCAAGCTTGCTCCGGCAAGATAACTTGATATTGGCCTTGTTCTTATTTGTGTTTTAATAATAATATATTTAAAACTTAATTATTAATCAATTATTGCCCTTGTATTTACTTCATCTCAGTCCATAAATATGCAAGAAAGAACTTGGCCAGAATCCAGCCACCTCGTCCTCACACTTGGGTTGTTTTCCAAATTACATGGGCAAATCTGTCGAATCTCGGTTTGGGCGAATGGTAAGCAAAATTCAGGACTGGTAAATTTCATCCTGGAATCCTGTCTACCATTTGTACAAATCAGTTCCATTTATCTGAAAATGGCCATGAAGGCCTCAAAATAGTATCAAATATGCTTCGAGGAAAATTAATAGAACACAAATTTCCGTTTGGCACATTCCATCTGGAAAAAAAAAGGACTACCTTTTCACACGTTCCATTGCTCCTGGAAATTTTCCCATGGAACGACCTAAAAAGTCGTGTTTTATTTACTTTTTAACGGCATTTTCCAGAAACTTTAAATTTGTAAATGGTAACCAACCTTGGTTAATGACACATAACACTGTACAAACCTTGTTGAGCCTGCATTTGTAAATGTGCTGCTAAAACTTGCTGTTGTTGAGGGTTCAAAGCAGGTTGTGGAACTCTGGGGGCAGCCACACCCTCAGGGGTTACACTCTGTTGAGCTGCCACAGCTGCTGCTGCTGCAGCTAGTTGTTGTTGCATCATGGTTTCATGCTGAAGAGCTCCCATTGGTTGCGGACTGGGGTTAGCCATTGGCATCCCGGCAGCCAATTCAGGCCGGTCTCCTATAAGATTACACAGAGGTCAGCTTTCATCTTATCACAGGCAATGAAATTAAAATCCAAATGAAATTTGGATTGGTAACTATTATTAGATTCTCAAGAGATGGAACTGCCTTGAACGTTTGTCTGAGGTTGTAGCCTGTTAGGTGTCAAGTGCAAAAGACTATGACTAAAGGATGTCTGCATTCAGCATGCAAAGAAAGTTGTGTCTGATAGCCCGGGCTAGTGGATTTAACTATCGGGCTAGTGAATACTGTTCTTAACTTGCCTGCTGGGCAAGTGAAATTTTTTAAGGAATTCTAATCACAAAAGAACTGTTATCAACCCTGCTCATCATCCAGCTAGTTAAAATGACTTTTGGGCTAGTACCTGCTAACTACAGCTTGCCCGAATGGCAAGCTGTAAAATGGACTATCTTGCACCCTGGCATTGGAAAATTCACTGACGCATACTCAACACAAATTGAAATGTGCCACTGCTAGAGTATCCATTTCTACTTCTTAGAAACAAAAATAACTGGTTTCAAGGGATTCTCCCCTGGGGTCCATATTAGAAGGTCTTGGAAATAATATTACCAGGTCCAGAAAGTTGCTTAAATTTGTAAGTAGTGGAATACAAATTTCAGTTAGAAAAACAAAATAAACTGGATAGGGAGTGAGAAGCTGCACTAAAATTCTTTGGATTTTGGCTTTAGAAAGAGACTTGTGCCTGTAAAGTGATGGTACTTTCAAGAAACAGGCCATGGGATCAGGTTCCTTGTGGGTCCTTACCAGGTGTAACAGCCATGTCCTGTCTCAGCATGACATCTGGTTGTTCCTGCAGAACATGGACACCGACAGGCTGTGCCGGAGGGGTCCCTGCTGGAACATATAAACCTTGATAGGCTGTGAAGAAGAAAATAGAAAAAACAAGTGTTAATTATCAGTCTTTGCCTTTAAAGTGCAAGATAAAAATACGAAACCTGGCTTATCCTAAGGGCAAAGTTTTGATTCAGTTTACAAGCCTGAAGGTCACAGTAGTCTGAGCTTTGCTAAAGATAAGAGAGTTTTAAAAGATGTCATAACAATCCCTCATTTACTTATTTAGTTTTTTTTTTTTTTCAAATAAAATAATTTTGTTGTTTCATCTCTACAAAGTGCAAAATTTCTGATTACAGTCAAACCTTCATGTGCGACAACCTCCCAGTAAGCAACCACCTATCAAAAACACCAAAATTTCCCACTCAAAACTTAATAGTTGGAACGCACCTCCTGTAAACAACCACCTCTTGTAAGGAACTGCGACAATGTTTCAGGGCTAACGGTTTAGTAACTTTCCATTGTTTTTAACTTCTTGCAAGCAACAACTTGACACTTTGTCTGATCTCTATGTAAGCTGTATTTACTATGCTACATAGAGTATAAGAATAACTTTTAGCGACAACATGGTACTAGACATATTGCAACTTGGAAATTGTATGCAATAAATTATCTTCCATGAAGTAGATGTGTCTGAGCATCTTCTTGGAAAAGAACCCCTGTGGTTCAACTCTAACTTGAAATGCCCACCTTCCATAAGCAACCACTAAGTATTCTCAGTTTGCGTATTTGTTGAAAGGAGTTAAAACTGTATAAAGAAGTAACTCACCTAGTTGCTCAAAATAAGCTTGATCAGGGTAGACGGCCCCCATTTGTGACATCATTGCTTGTTGCATGGAAACCGGCATCTGTTGTGTCGTGCGCTGCTGTCGTTGTGAAGAATAACGTTTGGGTTTAGTTGTAGGCACACTTTGTGATGGCCCTGGACTTGGTACACCTGGCATACCAGCTTCCTTTTTGGGGGAAACTTGTTTTGATTTTTTACTTTCTGGCTTTTTAGAAGACTTTTTCTGCTTTTCAGCTGAAAGACAGTGAAGTAACTTTTTGTGAGTGAAAAAGTAAAGGAATGAATAAACAAATTAACAAACATGAACCTTTTTACCTCCAGCAATATTAATCTTATAGTAATATAATAATGTCATAACTACAAACAGGCACAATTTATGGGCCATTTTAAAAACGATTTAACAAGCTTGTTTTTTCTGCATAGTTTGTGTTATAAGCACTCAATTGGAAATTGTTAAATACACTAAAAAAATTAAAATGTCTTGAGAAAAGTCAGAAGCACTTGCCTGTAGTTTCTGTTTCTCTAGCATTATTTTCTTGTTGTTAACGTTTCCACATTGTTTATAATAAAAACACACCCAGTACGTTTTCTATAATTTCATTAACAATTTGAAAGGGAGCAAACTATAACTGATTGCTCCTCCTGCAAATATCTAACTGTTGTAACTGTTCATCTGTAGGATGCCTAAAATGCGTGCAATCCAACAAATGGTTTCTGCTTCATTGACAAAGCATAAGCTTAAAAAGAAGACCTTGAGACTAAGAGTATGATTGTTTTTTTAAACAAAAAATTCAACTAACCAGCCTGCACAGCTTGTCCAACAGATGTCTCTTCTTCAATTACCTATAATACATAAAATAATACAACATACACTGTAGCATAACCATAAATATTGTGGTAGCATTTATACATGTATTAAACTATTACCAATAAATGGGAGATAAAATTGTAACTAATAAAATATTTTTAATCAGCTAGTCAGTTATGAGTCAGGGACTAAATTCCATGGTGTAACCAGTTTTAGGAATTAATGAAACCACCTCAGACGTACTTTTGTGAGGTATTATTTTGATGCATGAGTTTTTAAATACATTTAATTAATTTTTAAGTTTTGATTGAACTTCTTACTCCAAAAGTGAAAGGGTGATGCAAGCAAGTAAGGCGAAGGAGTAGGATGGCTAGTAGCCTGCAAGACAGGGGTTTGGACGGAAGTAATGGCCGCAAGAAAGAACAGGGTGTGTGAGAGACAAGACAAGACAAGACATTTATTATCTTAATAATAGCGGAGCTCTGGCGCGCGAAGCGCGCCTGCAGAGCACCATGAGTAAGTAAATCTACCCATCCCAGAAAATTTGGTAATCACGTGACCGTACACCGCCCGCCCGCCCGCCCGTCCGTCCGCACCCCAGGGCAACCAATGTCACTCTAGCTAGTTTGGAAGCACAGGAAGACTGATATTGCACACACATTGTACATCAATGTTGTGATCAATTGACAGCTGTCAAAACAGGGTATCCGCTGACCAGTATCACCTGACCATATCGCGGGCTCAGGTGTCGACCCGTCGAGGTCGAGTATCTTTTTGAAATTATCCGCTGACAAGTTACTAGTTTTCAAATGATTGCAGGCTCAAGTTAAATTTTTTTTAATTGGTATTAAATATGTTGTGTTTTATATGTGCCGCACAATTAAAATTTTGATTTCAAACTGACCTCGGAAGCTAAAATTCAGCCAGTTTTTACAGGCAGGGAAGACATGCCAGTTGCTTTTGACTTTTCTCACCAAGGTCACGCGTTGGTCACGCTCTACGTCCAATTTTTATGCTCTGATTGGTCAAAATTTGACAGGTGAGTTCATGCGGAAAATTTATGCAGCATCTTGAAACTTGTTTACTTTGAGAGTTGAAGCTGACAGAGTTTTGTGTCAGCTTGTGACGTTTTTAATTTTCTTTTTCCACTGGATGTACAAAATGAAATTCTGCTGCTATCAAGAAGCTTCAAGAGTCTTCTGTTATTCACAGCTAGTTTGTTTATTGGGGTTTTGGTTGAGAAATACGTCGCTTGTCAAAGTCGGAAATCTGATTTCGGATGGCATCGTTTTCGTTTTTCACCTTGCTTGATGCGTAAGAGGGTTGAAAAGTCTGAAGCGATTCTGGCCTTACTTGATAGTTTTCAGTGCATCTCGAATGGTAAGCCTGAGTAATTATTGTATTTGGTGTTTGTTTTTTATATCTAATTTAATGAAGTCGGGCGTAGTTTATGCGGCTACTTAGTTTATGCACGTTTGTAAGATTTGAGACAATGATCTGACCGAGTATCAGGTTTGATTATAAGCTAATAGAACTTTAAAAAGCCTTTAGACATTTTCTCACCGCAAACAGAAAGAAAACGTTTCAAAGAATATCTAGCTATAATTCTGGCTGTAAAAGAAAGCTTTGAGCAATTTTCTTGCCTCGAGTTCATCTTTGAAAAAAGCAAACACCGGGAAGCCGGCTTAAAACATAAACAAGGATTTTCAGAGACACTTTAATACTTGTCTTCGTGAATGAAAATTGTTGTCTCTGTATATGTTTCACCGAATTATTTTCCTTTTATTGATTATTAGTGGTCTCTTTTGCAATTTCAATCGCTGTGCCGTTTGTTTTCAGTCGCTCATGAACATCGGTTGCAGGAGTACTCAAAATGCCGCGCGTATCAAAGGAAGAAGATTACACATCGTTATAAAACCATTAAACAAAAAATAAACATAATAAATTCTTTTTCATGTTGAAGCGTATAACTCTATTAATCTTGATTTAATCAGTCGACTTTGGCGCTTGTCAAAAGTGAGAACCGGCTAGCCGTATATGTAGGTGATTTTGGAAATTTTTTTAACGGTTCCGGTAAAAGCACACGCGTGCTTCGACCGTCCTGAATCTTGAGTGAGTGCAATTTGTATTGCAAAATTGTGAAATACTGCATTCTTTCCGAGGTCTGTATGATAGAAACAGCGCCTCATGGTACTGTTTCACCTCAGATGTGATGTATAAAAAGTATAAAAGGTTGGTTTACACGTCCCCAGACTTGTTGGCAAGATTTTGTAAAGTAAATTATAAACTTGTCGAACGCAAAAAATTCGGCCTGATTTGTTTTCCAAGAATTTGTTTTCCAGGCCTAATCTACTGTGATCAAGAGCCATTATGGCTCTTAAATGTGATCGAAGATGATTGCTATTTTTTGGGTGTACGTATGTAGAGGCTATCAGCTCGATCTAAGGTCATGTTCACTCTTAGCTTGGACTGTTTGCAAATTATTTTTCTCTTAAATAACTTAGCCTTTCCCTCAAAAGTCACATGAATGTGCTCTAAAGTTAACTGATTTGTGGAATACAATTGCAAGTTTATTGTTCGATTTAAATTATAATTTCGAGTTAATAGGAGCTTCGCTTTTAGCCCTGGCTAAATCTATATATTATTGCTTACAATTTCCTAACACATGGTTGGCCAAAAATTATGCTAGTCGTGGCATGCAAAATTAATGCTATTACAAACAGATATCACCTGAAAATATATTATGTAAAAGACGAAGAGGAAAGAAAAGAAAGAATATTTACAATAATGTCAAGAGCTAGAAAGAAAAATCTGTTTACTGCCAGTTGTGAAGAAGCTAAGGTTTAGGGTTTCGCGATTTTATTTCTCGTGTTATCATGGTTGCATCAAGGTAATCATGTTTGTCTTTTAATAATTATTTCAAAGTTAGAGCACACTGATTAACTAATTTTGTTTAAACGATTTTTTTTGACATAATGTCTCTCATTCTACCTGGTATCTAATTCCATAATTAAGTGCCAAAAATTGGGACGGCTTGTCTTAGTTTTTCAAGATTAAATTACAAGGTACATGAGAAGAGAGGCACTCATGGGCTAATCAAGCAGGCGCTCCCTCTGCCCTTGTGTGTCTCTGTGCATGTCCTGTTCTTTCTTGCATATTACTGTCAAGCGTCTGCTATGCAGGCTAGATGATTATCATGTATGAGCTCTGGCGGCTAACATTTGCCTATGGACAATCACAAACCCTTAGGTTTTCCAACAAATTAATGTATAATGTTGGGCACACTTCATTTCACAAGCTCAGGGCTTAAGGGTTCCCTAATATATTAATTTGCTCTTAGAGCACAGCCTTGAGAGGTAGATGATGGAGAGATGGTTGTACAGACAAACACAGTCATTAATGGGATGTAAGGTATGGCTGAATGGATGGATGGGAAGGGATGGATGGGACAGATGATGGATAGAGAGACGGAAGGACCGACGGACAGACAAATGCGTGGAGACATACACTACTAGGGCTATGTGTGTGAAAATCGTGTGAAAAGGGTGTGAAAAGTGTGTGAAAAAAAGGAACCATGTGAAATCAATGTTGGAAAAAATACAAGTTCACCACATCAGCATTTCACATGCATGTGAACTTTTTGATACGTATGTGAAATTTTGTAATACATGTGAAAAATTTCTGTCATATGTGTGAACTTTTTTTCCATGCACTTTATTACATGTGAAATCTTTTCATACATGTGAAACAATTTTGTCATGCATGTGAACTTCAAATTTCACATGCAAATAGATGCTATGCATGTGAAATTTTTCACATGCATGTCAACACTTTTAGGCATGTCAGAGTGAGCATGTGAATTTTTTTTCAGGGCTTGTTAAATGCAACCAATGAATTTCTAGTGAATACCCCATGAAAGGCATTTCATGGCTCATAAAAACTGCAAAATTAAATTTCATGCCATGCCACATCTAGCATTCTATGGCTCATAGCTGAAAAATATCAAACTAAGTTGACTATGAGGGTCATGAATTTTTGAAGAATAAGATTTGATAAGTTACTAACCTAGAAAATACACTATACTTTAATGCGTCAGACCTTTAAGGCAAGTGATCACAACAAACGTGCTGTTACAAATCATCATCATCATCACCATTAAAGGCGAACCCCAATATACCAAAGTGCCAAGCCCCAGAAGGGCCCTCTTGTAAAGCAGCGGACTGGAATTAACGTTCAAAGCTCTTTTCATGAACTAGCTTGCAACCAGATCTCTCAGTCAATAACTGTATTAATTATTATTAAATACACAGGGGTTTCAAAACAAGCCGGAGACTAGAGTTCTGCCGGCTACTCAACTGTATATCGCTGGCTGCGCTGGTCATAACAATTAGCTTGTGACAAACAATCTCGATTGTCACAGCCGCCTGCTTTTCCAGAGTTGGCGCCTACTTCAAAACATTTTGAAACCCCTGAATACACTGTACATTCTTCATTATATTTGGCTTGATTAAAACCTTTCGAGTATCCAATCCACATGTGCATCTTTACAAATATCATTGTCTTCATTGTTTGCTAGAATATGCTATATATATTTATGTATTTTATCAACTGTCTCATCTAAATTTGTGGGTTGTGTATCTTACCACTTGAGTTTCCACCCAGAAAGATGTGTACCATGATTTTTGTTAAGTGGGGAGGGCTAAATCCTGAGAATTAAACCATTCTTTTAACAGATCTTCATTGAGGACAAAACGGACTTAATTTTACTACTCCATCAGAAAACTTACTTTGCTAACATATACGACATATGTAACTACACTTTATGAATGTTAATGAATGTTTTGTTTCTTACTGTAACGTTCCTCGTTGTAACGTTGAAAGTCCACTTGAACATGAGAACAGTTCCTTGCTTTGCATGCCTTTTGAGTTTTCTTTTGATACCGTTCGTTCAACTAATGATTCCTTAAAGCAAACAACTGGCATGCTCTTGGTTTACTCAAGTTGTCTTTGGTTCAATCAGCTTTCCGTACCTGAGCTTATCCAACATGAACAACGTCCACAACACGTATTAGATTCATGTAGTGAAGGCCAGCATTTCCTTAAATTCTCAACGGTTTCCCAACTCGAAGGAACAATGTTAAGTTTTTCTCTTCCTTCTAACACTTCAAATGCACTGGAATATTCTAATCAATGCTGAAAATAACCGCTTTTTCGACTCAAACGAGTGCACTTTCTCCATCGCAATTAGCCGCCATGTTTGTTGTTTCCCAGGCTTCCCCGTGATTTTAGCACATGCGCGATTTGATTTACAATGTCACGTGCGGCTTTTCAACCAATAGAAAATTGTAAAATGAAGTTCCGTTGAATAGTTCAAATTCACGCGGACTTCACAAGCAACACAGCGATGCAAACGGAATATTTTCGTTACTTTCGGATAGATAGAAAGACTGTCTTTCAATAATACCCATGTTATTTTCGAGAGATAGTGATTAATTGCAAAATTCTTCACAAAAAGCATGTTTCCAAGTCAGCAACTCAGCTGGATTATTGCAGAAAGGTATGTTCTTCTTGATATCGTGGTTCGTTAACAAGAGCTTACTTTGGCTTTCCAATAACTTTGCGTAAGCTTAAACCTTCAAAGATACATCTTAATTTAAGATGCATGCACAGATATGCCATTGATTGATTCCTTTTCGTTTACTGCAGAAAAAACTGTAATCTTTGTTGCAAATCGTCGATGGAATACTCTGAAAATTTTATGTTCTGACGCTAGTAGGCTGTGGCAGACTTGTCAAGACCAATGTTAAATAAAATAGGAGAAGAAATAGCATAAGTTTCCGATATGCATGCAATGTATACTACAAGTTGGAAGCAATTAAGTTTCCAGTTAATTTATAATGGCTTGAGAGTTAAACTAAACCTATAAAATTTGAGTAGGTTTGTTTATTTGAGCTTCGATTCATAATATTCGTACATCTGCAATAAAGTCAAAAATAAAAGGCAGCTCTATCTAGTCTGATGTGTGGACCTTCAGTTCAGAAAGCTGTTCAGCCACTTTGAAAGAAGCAGTCAGTTAGCATTATTTTTTTCCATAAACATGCTTGTATTTTTCAAAGTTGTTTATTTACTTTGTCTTTTCACTGACATTGAGTGCTAGATTGCTTTTCTGTAACTTGGTATTCCTTAATAAGTGGAAATTGTAAATTGGCCACTATGTCATTTACTATCATAATTATTACAATTTATAAGAAATATTTCTAACCAAAAATTAGTATATTATTAGTTATTTTATTGATGTAGGAATTAAAGGTATAAAAACTGAGCATGATAGAAAGTTTTGTTTTTATTATTATCCTCCAGGCAATAAATATTGACAAATAAACAGGATTAGACATTGATGTTTCCAGTAGCCTTATGTGCCTTTTTTGAGTAACTTAAATTTACATTTAAGTTCATTTTAGGACATGTGAGTCAGTTGAACTGAGTTTCACTGTGTTGATAATATGAAACCAATTTCCTTTGCCAATCAATTCTATCCAGTTTGCTTTTCACTTTTTGCCAGTTTTATATAAATCAAGTTCTTCTGAAAATACCATAAAATTATAAATAAACCAACAGATCAGGCTATAAACCTGAAGTTGTTTGTGACTATATGGAAACACAACCATGCATGCAGTTGACAGTACTTCAGACAAATTTATTGCAATCGGAAAGTGCAAATGTAAATTTGTGAGTAAATTGATCTTTATAAGCTAGTTGATTTACTGAATATTTGCTTGTGAAACAACATACCCAATTTGTGTGAAGTGGTATGGGAAATTCTACCCTGCAAGCAGAGTTTTCTCTCTTGCATGGCTTTTAGCGTTTACGAAGTCGTTTGGGTGGCTTGTCTGTCGCGCAGTTGGTTTGTTTACGTGTAAACAAACCTCTGCTCCCAGGGTAGTAAAATTCTATTGCCATTCATGATCTCCGATCTCTGAGGATTTACATGTGAAAGCTCACGTGAAACCCTGTGTGACGTGTATGTGAAAATAATGTGTGAATTAGTAGCATGTGAAGTTCTAGATGTTTTGCCATTCATTGAGGATTAAGTACATGTGAAAGCCCATGTGAAACCCCATGTGAAGTGTATGAAAATATGTGTGAATTTAAATGAGGATTTACATGTGAAAGCCTGTGTGAAACCCCATGTGAAGTGTATGTGAAAATATGTGTGAAAGGGATGACGTCGCTTCACACCCTTTTCACATATATTTCACTATGCAAAATTTCACATGCGCGTGAAATATGTGTGTGAAATGCATGTGAAAAGTGTGTGAAAAACGTGTGAAAAATGTGTGAAAAGAGTGTGAAAATAGGACATTTTTCACATGTTTTTCACATGGTGTTTCACATACATACTCCTAGTAGTGATAAATGCATGGATGGAGAAATAATTGAATGGCTTAGAGAGAAACTAATGTAAAATTTCACCTCCTCTGCCATATGATATTCTTCTGTTTCCTCTTGCTGCTCCTCCTGCTGTGCCAAGTCTTCATTCTGCTCATCTTCACTGTATTCTTCTTCTTCTACTACTTCTCCATCAGCCTCTTCAGCATCTACAAAGAATACTAGAAATTATTATACACTGTACACACTATCTGTCTTCTCATTGGCTAAGAGCCTACCGCTAATTTTGGAAATCAGTGCAACCTACAGATTAACCTTCAGCTCAGCTGATAACACTCATCTCGACCTTGATTATTCCGGATATCACAAAAACTTCATCCAATAATTGTTTATAATAAACAATACAGCAATAATCAACAAATAAATGACAGCTCCAACACCACACTGTCAAGTAGCTGAGGTTTATTAATTTACATGTCATTTGAATGGTCACAGTTTTAGATTTCAGTTGAGCCTCCATTCAGCGGCCACCTTCTATTAAACAGCCACCTCCACAAAGCAACCAAAGCCACCTTTTGTGCCTCCCAACAAGATTATTCTATTGTTGTCACCTTTATGGAGCAGCCATCAAGTGCTTGATAGGGGATAATGCAGCCCCCCAAGCCCCACTGAATATAAGCTCTTCTCAAGCTTGTATTAAAACAAATTAAATTTTGATTTATGATGATGTTTGGATTGGGCTTTTGTACATTATACTTTTATTTCCCCACTAAAATGCACCAACTTAATGCTCCATTTTCCCCGGTAAAATGCTCAGTCAGCCCCAAAAAAGTCACTAAAATGCTCCAATAATGCTTGTCATACAGAGTCTTTATTATTAATCGTAATGTTTTAACAGGGTGCTATCCCTACTGAAATGGTAAACATAGTACAAAAACAAAGAACAAGTTAATCAAGATTATAGCATTTTAAACAGCAAAAATGAACTTTTCCCCAGTCTCCGCACTTTAAATTTCAAGTTTTTTCTAGTTTGTCTTCCTTTTTTTCTGAAAAGAAAATTTTTCTGGGAACAATTAACCCTCATTTTTACTTTCTCTGAAAAAATCCAAGAAAAATGCCAGTAAAATGCTTAATAATGCTTTTGCTTCACTAAAATACTCACAAAAATGCAACCATGATGTACAAATACCTAGTTTTGAAGTGTAAAAAACAAAACAATGAATAAAAAACATACTATTTCGCTCAGCACTGCTATAACAATTTTCTTTTCCAGTTACAAGCTACCTAGGATATAAGCCCTGGGACTTATAAGCAACAGTTTAAATGTTATGTCACAATAATTTAGTCAAAAGAAAAGAAATGCTAATGGAAACATTCCACTCACCCTCAAAGTTCTCCTCTTCATCCTGTTTCTTCTTTTCCTGTGCTTCCCTTTTCCGAGCTTCTTCTCGCTCCCGAGTAAAATCTGCGGCATTCTTCCTTGGCTTCTTGAGCTCCTGAACCTGGCCTCTGCCCCTTCCCCTCCCCCTGAGTTTACTATAACTGTGGGTNAAAATGCTCAGTCAGCCCCAAAAAAGTCACTAAAATGCTCCAATAATGCTTGTCATACAGAGTCTTTATTATTAATCGTAATGTTTTAACAGGGTGCTATCCCTACTGAAATGGTAAACATAGTACAAAAACAAAGAACAAGTTAATCAAGATTATAGCATTTTAAACAGCAAAAATGAACTTTTCCCCAGTCTCCGCACTTTAAATTTCAAGTTTTTTCTAGTTTGTCTTCCTTTTTTTCTGAAAAGAAAATTTTTCTGGGAACAATTAACCCTCATTTTTACTTTCTCTGAAAAAATCCAAGAAAAATGCCAGTAAAATGCTTAATAATGCTTTTGCTTCACTAAAATACTCACAAAAATGCAACCATGATGTACAAATACCTAGTTTTGAAGTGTAAAAAACAAAACAATGAATAAAAAACATACTATTTCGCTCAGCACTGCTATAACAATTTTCTTTTCCAGTTACAAGCTACCTAGGATATAAGCCCTGGGACTTATAAGCAACAGTTTAAATGTTATGTCACAATAATTTAGTCAAAAGAAAAGAAATGCTAATGGAAACATTCCACTCACCCTCAAAGTTCTCCTCTTCATCCTGTTTCTTCTTTTCCTGTGCTTCCCTTTTCCGAGCTTCTTCTCGCTCCCGAGTAAAATCTGCGGCATTCTTCCTTGGCTTCTTGAGCTCCTGAACCTGGCCTCTGCCCCTTCCCCTCCCCCTGAGTTTACTATAACTGTGGGTTGTACTGCTGGGTGAAGATTTTGTTTGAATCTCATTTGAAGGGGAAGGGTCCTCACCTCTGCCCTGATTGTCGTCCTTTTGGCCTCTTCTTGCTCTTAAATCCCTTGTGTCATTTCTTTACAAGAATAACAATAATCATCAGTCATCCATGCTAAGCAAAGGTCTAGCTACTTAAAGTGTGAAAAGATTACCTTCATCTCCTAGTTATATTAAGACCCTGAGTATTGGACTGGCCCTGAGAATTGAACAGCTCCACAGTCAAGTGCTCTTCCCACTGAACTACAGTAATTCCGTCACGGTTGAAATAAAATTATAGGAACATAAAATTATTGCAAGTGGACTAAATTTTACCATCCTTGGTGAGTGTAGATTCCTTATTCAAGAGCATCAACATGCAGATTTGCCATACTGTTTCCATTGTATTTCTTGTGATACATTTCTTAGTGCCATGCAACATGTGCACTACACCTCCATCTTGCTTTATGCCAAAACAGTGAGAATGCAATTCAGAAACAGCTGATTTTATAGGCCAAGCTTAATACAGTGCCTTGGACTTCTGCTTCATTCCATTTTTGCACACATAACACAGGCAAGAAGTTTTAGTGCATGTAGGCCCCCCCCCTCCCCCAATAAAATAAAAAAAATTTGATTCTTGGGCCTGTTTTCATAGTGATATAAGCACTATTATTCTTGGGCTTGTCCTTGCCTCTCTTAAGTGAAATCCTGGCTTACATGTGAAAGGTTTTCAGAACTTTTACACTTATACTATACTTGCTAGACTGTCTTGATGACATCAATGCTGTTTTTTACTAAAAGTGACATTGTTTTAGGGATAAGCACCCATGCCTGTAGTAAGAATAGTATTATTACAGGGCTATCACAAAGAGCTGGAGGCCCGGGATTTCCCCTGGCTACAAGGGACCTTACGATCTGACACAGTAATACCAATGAAAATGTCGCTGAAAAATAGACTTCATGTTCTTTGAATTTTTTTGCTATTATACTAAGTCACCCAGCTACTTGAAAGTAGGGAAATTAGGTTGGAACTGAAGAGAGGGGACTGTGTCTGAGTTCAGAGACAGATAGTAAAATTAATCACCTTGTCATTCCTATTCTCAAGTCAACTAAAAATTTGGTCATTTCAAGTTGTAGTTGTGCAGGGATGGCAAAGAAATGTACAAAAAAGCGAACATTTTGATCATGCACCATGGAAAATTGCACTACATAATTAAGTTTTAATTAATTGTAATTGTAATAATTGTACTTAAGGGTAATTGTAAGAGTACAACAAAGTGTTAACACCTCAATAACAATACAGTAAACACCCACATATAAGAACACATGATTTCGGAAGTCAGGCTGATTGAGTTCTTATAGCATATTTTAGGAAAATAAAATAAATAATTATTCTGTAATTTGATTATATTAACAAATGAAGTTATCTGACAGCAAACATAAACTTACATGTTTTGTAATTATGACACTTTTTCCATTTTATAAGAACACATTACAATTTTCAGGCTGATCTTGTTCTTATAAAAATGGGGCTTTATTGGCCAAATTTCAGTCTGGTGTTCTCAATCCATTTGTTCTTACATGTGGGTCTTTACTGTAGTTCTATTTGTTTATAATGAATGTACCTTTCATTTCCAGGACTGCCAAATCCTCCAGTACCTCTCCTGTTTTGGTCTCCTCTGTCTTCTTTACCCTGTCTTCTGTCTTGCCAGTCGCTTCTCTTTCCTTCACCAAATCGTCTACTTGGATCACTTCCATATCTTTGATCATTTCTTTCCTCATCATTTCTATCCCTTGACCTCCTATCATCTCCTCTTCCATAATCATTTCTTGTGTCGTTATCTTCCCTTCTTCTAGCACGCTCATGCCTTCTCCCGTCGTTAGTCCTGTTTCTGTCGTAACCTTGCTTTCTATCATCTTCATATTCTTTCCCCCTATTATCATACCCCCTTCTATTTCTACGATTTCTTTCATTTCGTTCTTGCACTTCCTCATCAGCCCCTTCTACTTCGTCACCCCAATTTCTCCCCTGATATTGCCTTCTCCCACGGGATCTTTCCCCCTCGTCACCTTCTCTGTCCTGCTGTCTTTCTGGTCTACCAAACCCCCTTCTCCTGGTATCACTTCCTTCCTCTGAATCCCCTGGGGTTTGTCTTCTCCTTCTCTGCTCTCGTTCATCATTTCTCAGTCTTTGCTCTGGAGCTCTGTTTTCTTTATTTCGTTCATTTTCCTGGAATTCGTCATCATCCATTCTCATTCGATTTCTTCTCTGCTCCCCTCCCCTGCCTCCCCGGCCTCCTCCTCTGACAAATTCCTGCAAGTCATATCTTCTCCTCCCACGTCGGCCGCCTCCCCTTTCAAGCCAACGAGAAGTCGCCTAGAATAAAAAATGGTTGTTACTATCATTCAATAAATTACAATAACACTTGTGAGAGAGACATAAAGGTGTCAACCTTATGAAGAGTCTGATTGAAGAAAGGCAAGGATCTTTGTAAAGTGAAATAATGAGAAATCAGTAGTTTCTCTAGCAACCCTTGTGGCTTGCCATGTGTTGGGAAAGGGATCACCAAATACATGGATTTCCCTCCACTGCAGGCTTAACTGCCTTGCTGTTTGTTGGTTCCCCAGTTACTTTGCTTAACCATAATCCTCACATATTTTTTGCTCATTTTTACTCACAACATTCCCCCACACACACACCCTATACTCCTTCACCCACTGACTTCTATCCGTGGAAGGGAACCCATGTTTTTAGTGATTCCTTTCCCAACACCCGGCAAGCCACAAAGGTTCCGTTGCTAGAGAAACTACTGATTTCTTATTTTTTAACTTTACAAAGATCAACTCTGCAAGGACCACTTCTAGGTGGTACTAGCGACTGGCAAATGTTATAAAGAAGCAAAATTTACCAGGTTTCATACTCTTTAGAGCTCTTCAAATTCCATGAATTTCCATGACCTTAGGTTAATAGCTGTCACTTTTGAAAATTTTCATAACTTTCCTTGTTTAAGGTTATTTTTTGACCCAACTCAGCTCAACAGACACAAACTCTGGTAACCTCCAAAATGTGCACCATTTGCACTGTTTACTTACTGATATCTGTCTTACAATATGCTGTAACTAATCTACCAAACACAACTTTAATTTTCCATGATTTCCGAGACCAAAATTAAAAGTTATTAAATTCCATGACTTTCCTGGCCTAGAAAATGAAATTTTTTACGTTTCATGCCCTTCCAGGTTTTCCATGACTCAAACAAGCCCTGTTTACATAAATTGAGCAAAGATGTCTCGAGGTTGGAAATATTTTGAATGAACAACATCTGCCTCAAGCTGCTCAAGCTCAGGCTGCTTTATATTATACTAAAGTGGCATCCAATAATTAATACCAGTTATTATTAATATATTTTTTTATAATAATCATAACTATAACAAAATTGTCAAATCTGATTTCAGCCTTAATTGGACAGTTTATTTGGACAGTACGCGCCATCATGCGTATGCTTAAATGGCTTTCTTTTCACTGCTAGCAAAACAAAATTTCGAATTTCTTGTGTTTTGATTTTAAAAATAGCCTATTATAATAATTATCACAAATTTTGCTTAAGTTGTGATTAATTGGTAACAGAACTTCGTGTCATCCAATTCGGGTTTTAATCATACTCGTAATTAAACAAATCAGACTCCCGAGATTTTGTTAATCACTCGTATGATTACAGACCGATTTGGACTCCACTCAGTCCTGTTACCATTTCTAATACTCTTAGAACTTCTAACCTCAAGCTCTTCTTTTGTTTTTGGTCCTTGCTCGTCTTCTCTGTACATGTCATGTTCCCATCTGTCTGATGTTTTATCCCATAACTGACGAGTTGTTGGCTTTCTCCTGACCACACCAATAAGGACACAAAAATAAACAGTTTCAAACCCAGTCTTAAATACAGTACACGTAGCTTTGCCGTCGTCCGATTTTGTTGACCACTCATATGATTACAGACCAAATTGGACTCCACTCAGTCCTATTACCATTAATTAATATTTATTAAATCTTAGAGAATATGCTAGACCTGGCTTGACTGTAACAATGCAGGACACTCTTCTGTCTTAACAAAGCCTGCAAGTCTGCAATAAGAGTCAACTCTCTCTAAGATGGACACCTCAGCTACTGGCACCACATGTAAGTGTCCATCTAAGAGTAATGTCTGTTTTCAAGAGGGTCAAAGAAAGGGAGTAAAGAAAGGCAGGGATTAACTTCATTTTTCAGAAAATTTCGGAAATTCCAGATGAAAGGTAAATGGTAAGGTCACTTTTTGGAAATTCTAACTGAAAATTGGGGAGAATGTTTTGAGGTAGTCTGTTTATTCCGGTTGGTACGAACCAATTGGAACGTTGCTCACCACTTACCAATGTCTTGGTTCCTTCTCGGTTCCAGACTCATGCTACACAAATTCATCCAGGTTTTTTGGATTCAAACCGTAACGGATGTGGCAATTCTGTGGTCAATTGGTAAATTGCTTACCATTATGCTTTTGACACCCCACCCGGATTTTTCTCTCAAAGGGTAGGCACCATAGGTGTCAGTCTTATAGATTAGAGGTGTGTGTTAAGAGAGAGTTGACTGTATTCATTTTACACACACTGACTCCACCAAACTGCTATGTCATTTTGTACCTGTCCTCATCCGGCATGTCCGACCATCTATCATCATGGCCCCAGAAAGCATCTCTTCGTGGAATGAAAGCTGGGTTGCTTTCTTCTTCTTCAATCACCTGCAAAAATACATGTATAATAAAACTTCTGTTAAATACAATGTAACTGTTGTCAATTTCTCACCTTCTGTTGCCATACAAGAATCAACTCTTTAACCTTTAATAGTGGCCAGTATCTTATTTCTCCTTACAATATCAATGTTTATTACATATTTATTATTCTATTTGTTTATTTGCCACACCACAGATAACACTATCATAACAAAGAAAAAAAGTAGGCCTAAAGGAAACTAAAGTATAATGTTCGTTAGGCCTCCTTACTTATAATTATTATAATAAACTCATTTATTATAATAATTGTAGATATAATAATTATAACTGATTACTAATTATTATAATTAATCATTATTCAAATTAGAGAGATTAAGAATCATGTTCAATGACCAAGTTTTCCTTTAGTGCCTGCTTCCATGGAGGTGAGGGACCCCAGGTAGGTGAGGTAACCCGCTTAGGTGGGATAACCCGCCTGTCCATATAATCTCCCATTTTAATTTTTTTGTCATATTACACCATTGCTCAGAGCCCTACACTGGTTACCCGTAGCATATCGAATTGTTTTTAAAATTTTATTGTTAACTTTTAAGGCCATTCATAAACTTGCTCCGACTTACATTTCCGAACTTGTATCACCGAAAGACACAGGGGGTAGGTACTATCTTAGATCAAATAACGGCAAACTTCTTAACATTCCACCACGCAAGTCTCTTTCCACGCTTGGTGATCGATCTTTTTATATGGCTGCCCCTAAATTATGGAACGATCTTCCCCTTTTTATTAGAAATATATCTTCAGTTAATGCTTTCAAGAAGGCTCTTAAAACTCATTTATTTCAGAAGGCGTTTCCCAGCTAATTTATTGTTTTTATTCTCTTTATTAAGAAGGATTTGTATATAGGATATTAAAGATTAATTTTTATTTTTAAATTGTTATTTTTACAAATTTTTAGGAACGATCTGTAAATTTTGTTTTTGGAATATGTATCAGGATTTTAGGATTTTGTTGAGTCAATGTTATGCGCAGATGAAAATTTCTTTCCCTGGATTGATATTTGCGCAATACAAATCAATAAATATTATTAAATAAATATTATTATTATTGATGACGTTTACGTGATAGGTGGGGTGACCCGCCGCATGATACCTTGCCTATCTGGGGTCCCCCACTACCATGTAAACAGGCCCTTAATTATTGTTGTTTACTGCTTATTACTTCCACTCAAAAATAAATCGTTTCAGGCCAGTTTTATCAAGAAGAATAATTTGTCTGTACAGTTTTTATCTGCTTATTTTCTATTCTGAGAAATTCTCATTTTTAATCTGATGTTTGCCATTTGACATAAACATGGCTCTTTGATGGATACAATATTACAAGATCAAAAGGAAAATGTATTACAAAATAATAATACAAAAAAATTAAAGACGCCTTACATGTGCTTTTTTTTTACAGGAGACAGGTGAGGATGAATTGATGATCTCATTTTTCAACAAGTTGTAAAATTTAGGTCCTTAGTAAAATACAGAAAATTGTTTGACATCATTTTGACATAAGGACAACCAAATGCACAAGAAAAACATTTTTAGAAGTTCTGTGTTATTATCTACTGTTAACCAATTCTTGAAACATGGCAAACATAAAACATCCTTCAAGGTCCAGTAACAAGAATTACCAGGAGTTTTGAGAAACATCCCCCTGGGCTAGAAAAACAACCTGTTAAGTTGATTTAGTGTGTTTCATTTAGATCCTTCAGCAATCAGGGCCTGCTTCATGAAAGGCTAATCCAGGGTTAAAATTTTGAGCCACAACAAATTATTGACAGTAGTATTTACCTTTGTACAGATTGTTTCTTGTTTGGACCTCAGAGTAAAGTTTATAATTATTATATTACATTCTCCGGTTACCTGTTTCTAGACAAGAAAACCTTGACTTAAAACTTCCCCCTTTCACCCAGATAACTGGATCCTGCGAGTAAAATTGTACTATTTCTGTCAGATTATTAGCTCTTTAGTATATTATATTTTTTGCTACATGTATCACATTTCCCATTTAAGCGCAGCTACAAATGTGATTTTACCTGTCCTCCAGCAATGTGGCAAAAAGGAGACCAGCCATGGAACAAAATATGCGTTCTTTGTCCTTAGCTTTACAGTTAAATTATCAATTGATCCAATCACCTGTTTGTCTTCTTGTTCTTTTGAGTGTTTTTTTCTCTCTTCTTCCACCGATTCATTTTCCTGTTTTTCTTCCTCAGTTTTGTCTTCTTCTACTTCGTCTTCTTCTACGACAACATCTTCTTCTTGATCAATATCTTCCCCCTCTTCTTCGCTTTCCTGATTTAATGAAGACAAAAAATAAAAAATGATCCATCTAGAACACAGCTATAATAGTGAATGCTGGGACTCGCACAGCTATAAAACAATAAATCAGAGGCCAAAGAATACATGTATGAGTCCTACATTAATTTGTAAGATGAAAGAAGAATACATATGATGGATCCTTCTTACAGTGGACAGAGAAAACGTTTGTGCATCCAAATGGATGCATACAAGGCATGATTGGTACATCTTTTAGGAAATTTAATGTGGGACATGCAGGTAGATGGATCACTTAATTTTGACCTGTAACAAACACAACCCTGGTCAAAACATCTTGGAACACTTGAGGCAATAAGGCTGACACACAAAGACACACTTTGCTAAATTAACTTGTATTCTACTTCTTATAAAAGCTTGGAAATGTTGTTGTAAGAGACCATTTCTACATTGCCCCAAGCAATGTCGATCATGTTGAAAAAGTACTTGAATGCATAACGTCAACACTGCGATGGGAGGAGGGGTTGGGAAAATGCATCATTAAGTTAGTGTCCCGAGAGTTTTGACCACGGTTGTAGGTGTTTTGGGCAAAATTCCCATGGCAAGTTCTCACTTGAGATTCACTGACCTCCCCTTCACTTTCACTGCCATCGCTATGAGACTCTGATGACCCAGATTCTCCTGTTGTATACTCATCGCTATCAGACTCCGAGTCGCCATCACTCTCATTCTCCTCCTCAGTTTCACTATGTTTATCAGACTCAGCTTTTTCATTCACAGCCACACTTTCATCAACAGCTTCCTCAGGTTCTTTTACATCAGCTTCAGCAACCTCATTTTCATGTCGAGGCTCTGTGTCATTTTCTTTTATTCCATCACTTTCATGCTGAGATTCTTTTGGAGCCTCGTCTTCATGTTGAGACTCTGTGGCTTCGTCCTGTGCTGTCCCATTTTCTGGCTTAAGTTCAACACTAGCTTCTTGAAGATCAATTGGCTGTTTCTCATTAAGTATTTCACTCTCTACATGATAAAAGTAAAGATGACCCAAGGTTTTCAATAAAAATTGAAGTAGCCAGCAGGTTTGAAAAGAGTGACCAACTGTAAGAAACTTGTGAAAAATTGACCGAAATATAGTGTTCATATGAAAACACATCATAATGTTTTTCATTCAGATTTTATTGACATTAATCAAATTACTTGCTTCTTCTTTCTAGAAAAAAATAGCTGACCTCTATGAGCAAAGTAGCCGACAC